ATAGTACTGGCCTATCTACATACATCTACTGTGAAGCAGCAGTGCATTCATTGCAGTGTTGTGATGTGTGTATGAAGAGCTAGAATAATTACTGGCAGTAATGCACTGAATCTTAGTTTTCATGGATGACAATGCAGCAATAACCTTTTTCAAAGTTTGATGCAGCTGTCTATGGGCTGCAATAATCATTTACCATCAGGATTATTAGCTTATTTGACACATTAGGTAGTTAATTATGTAAAAATGCACATTTTCGACAGGGGATCCTTGGTAGATCGAGAGCTTTGAGCTCGACATTATGCACACGGCAACCCAAGTTCAAGTGGTAAGTGCAACTCTTAAGTGCTCTTTGATAATTTGTTAGGTGGTGTAGAAAATCACGTAGAGAAACTTAAGCATATATATACTTAAATTCACAAAACGACTACAAAATAATTCGCAAAGCTCAATATATGCAAACACTTCAAGACTGATCAAGTGTACGCATCCATGAGCATACTGCTATGTAGGTGAATAGGATATCATACGTATAGACGTACATTCAGACAAAAGTTCAACGCACCTTAACATCGTTTGACGTCTGGCCCGCGTCCAAGTACTTCACTTTTATGGATGAGTTATCCTAACTTCCTTAAATAGATAACTGATGGCCATCTCCGATTTTAAAGGGTTGACGCGGTTTGGTGATTCAATGTTTCACTATTGGATGTCGAATTTGCAACTCGTTTTAGATAAAAATATTAGTACTCACCAGAAGTAAAAATAACATCTGTATAATTATGTTTCGTATAAAGTTAACGGGGAAAACGCAATTTATATTCTTATCACAAATATACTAACGCGTGGCCGCAAAGTTAAAATATTTCATTATTTAAACAATTAGTTAAACTATAATATTATCAAATACCGATACGTCGTAGAGCCACGATGCTGTGACTAACGGCTGGAACGAGAACAGAACGTCTTGACCAGGGAAAGATCACACGCGCGAGAATACCAAAGCTATGGTAAGTGACGGGAACCTAAGACGTTTTTTACTGGTAACGCATTCCATTTTGGTCCTCAGGGGTGATAACGCATTCTGTATTTTAATTCTTATTTAAGGACAGATGTAGGCGTCTCTGGGCCATAGCATCCACTTACTATCAGGTAAATTGTGTGTTATATATGTATATATATGTAATATATACGAAAATTATTTAAAATTGGCCAATAATACGTGTTCGGGCACGCGTAGAATTGAGAAAGGCGTGGCGTGCAGAATATTTTTAACGTAATGTACGGATTGTGCGTAGTACCTAGTCGGCGCATGCAACTCCGACACTGCTCTTCGGCGTCTTCTGGGTATTTCACATCTAGTATAAATACGAAATGGGTTTCCTTCTTTTAACGGAGAACAATCTTTCGGGAAAATCCGTCAGTTGCATCTAAGAAAAGCAACGGGATGAGATGGGGGAGAGGGGGAATCTTTTATGGTGCCACAAAGTTTCGTATATATTTCCAATACTCATTTTAATTTTAATTAAAGATTTTCAGAAAGTTTGTCACAATGCACTATTAAATAAGGGTTCCTTATTGTTCCACCCTGAACCCTGAAAATGGTAAGGTAGGTAACAAAAGCGTTGTAGTATTTAAGTACAGAGACAATAGCAAAAATCTGCAATATTATCTTTTACTTTGAGGAAATCCTGTAATAAGTAATATTTATTACTAGTGGTCGCCCTAGTCGTCAAATTCGATCGTATTTCTTTTATTTTGAACGTTCAGGTTTGTATATTAAAAAGCTGTATTTCAGTTTAAACTGCATATTAATTTAGAAAACCCAAAACTACCTACATGCGAGAATGTTCCACTGGAAATTAACCAACAAAAACAGTGGGATATTTCGTTGGTACAGTGTGCAGAAAGATTTGTTTTCATAATTTTCACAGTGAAAAAGATCAAGCACGCATTCTAGCTGTTTCGACTAGTGACTGGTTACACGCTTTACCATCAAGTAATCTCGGCAAAAAAGCTTGCGCATCGCCGTAGGAATCCGACTAGGAGCGGCGACTTGTCAACCCCATCATTACCCCTGTGATAACAGTATCGACAAGTTTGGCCTCCATGGACTTTCATGTAAGAAAAGTACTGGTTTTTCACGGCACGATTCTTTCAGCGATGTCATCCGAAGGGCTCTTGTCTCTATAAATGTTCCCTCGGTTTTAGAGCGTTGTGGGATATTTAGAGAGGATATCAGGAGACGCACGGTTTGAAATTGGTCCCTTGGGAGAGAGAGGTAAAGCCCTAGCGTGGGATACTACTACTTGCGTAGGTACTTTGGTGGCGTCTCATCTCAGGGGTACCTACCTGGTTAAGAGCCGGGGCGGTATCAGAGGCAGCTGAACTGAGTAAGTGGCGCAAATATGAGTATCTAAAAGATGACTACATATTTGTGCAATTTGCTGTAGATACTATCGGTCCGTGGGCTCCACGCGCCGTGAAGTTCCTAAGATAACTCTATGCGCAACGTGTCGTTGTTGCTGGTGATAAGAGACCTCTTTTCTCACTCAAAGGCTAAGATAGCCATTCAGCGAGGAAACGCAGCCAACGTTCTTGGCACGTTACCAAGGGCAGTAGGACTGTATAATAAAGTTATTAGTTTTAGTTTTTTTTTTTTATTATAGTCTTTTAATATTGTACATAGGCTGCACTAAAAGTATCGGGAATGGAATATTTCCACTGTTCCTGTCATATTAAAATCTTTTTAATTGAAAACTCCTTGGTTTTAAAAATCGAATACCATTTATTTATTTAAAAAAGATTCTCGGTCTTGTCACAAGGTTTTGTCAAACATGTTTAGTCGTTGAGAAAATGGAATTGACTCGAGAAAATTCAAGAGCGATGATTTATTATGACTTTCGAAATGGTTTAACACAAAAACAGTGTGTTGGTCGGATGATTTCTGCATTTGGTGATGAAGCCCCATCCAAAACCATAATTTATCGCTGGTTTGCTGAATTTCAACGTCAAATACAAATAATCCTGCATGAACAATTAGGTGTAAAAAAGTTGTTTTTCCGATGGATACCGCATTCGCTCTGTGAAGAGCAAAAAGTGGCTCGCATTACTTGGTGGCTTGGTGCGTCAGAACTCTCGAAAGATTCCACGCAGGATCCTCAAATGCTGTATACAACATCGTATCAGGTGACGAATCCTGGATATACGCGTACGAACCCGAAACAAAAAACCAGTCACGAGTTTGGGTGTTCGAAAATGAGTTAAAGCCAACAAAAATTGTTCGTTCACGGAGTGTTGCAAAAAAATGGTGGCCACGTTTTTCTCCAAAACCGGCCATGTTACGACTATTCCTCTTGAGGGACAAAGAACGGTAAATGCAGAATGGTATGCTAGCATTTGTTTGCCACAGATCGTTTCTGAACTCCGTAAAGAGAACTGCAACCGCCGCATCATCCTCCATCACGACAATGCGAGTTCTCACACCGCACACAGAACAAAAGAGTTTTAAAGCAAGAAAACGTAGAATTATTAGACCATCCGCCGTACAGCCCCGACCTAAGCTCTAATGATTTCTATACTTTCCCTAAAATAAAGAATAAATTGCGTGGACAGAGATTTTCATCACCTGAAGAAGCCGTGGACGCCTACAAAACGGTCATTTTGGAGACCCCAACTTCAGAATGGAATGGTTGCTTCAATTATTGGTTCCATCGTATGGAAAAATGTGTCAAATTTCGCGGAGAATACTTTGAAAAGCAATAAATACATTTTTAAAAAGTAATGTTGTGTCACTTCCTTGATTCCCGAAATTTTCAGTGCCGCCCTCGTATATATTATTAAATAAACAAAAATAAAATAAACGCGGTTTGACCACAGACTATTAAGTGTTTGACATTAGCCTTAGGGTAATAAAATATACAATATATATATACTGGTACTTACTCTGAAACATAGGCAGTACGAACGTCAACAAATGACATAATTTGTTCATTTGTCCAAGCGACAATTAGCTGCGTTTGACGACATTGACATTACGAACGTAAATATTGAATATTTTGTTTTATTTTATTTTATGTATTTGTAATACATATTAAGTTTTATTGTTCTGCACTATTTGTCCATATAAAATTTAAGTATGCCAAATCTTACACTCCTCAACATGTTTTTTCTCTTGATGTATTTTTCATAATAGATTTAATTGGTTTCTCGGAAATCGATTGTTTAAGGATTTGGATGAAATATTGTACCTGGTAGATTTTTCTTATAACGTTGTGCAATGGTGGCCCATACTTTTAATATTCACAAATAAAGATTATAAAAAATATCTCAAACTGAAAGCCATTAACAACAAAGGCAGTTCGCGAAAGTGAACCTTATTACCTACTTATTCAATGAGTGACGTGCTGATTACACCATAAAAACATTGTTTTCTCATCAGTCATTTCAATTCGAATATCTACTTACTTAATAAAATTGATAAACCTTGATGTGTCTAACAAAATTATAACTTCAACTTGAGTTAAAGAGATCATTTTTATTCAATAAAAATATGTTACTTTAACTGTGGCCTCACTGCTGATGGTAACTTCTAAAAAACTTTTAATTATGCTAATTCCGAATCAATTGTCTTCCGAAACCTACCTTTTTTAAACAGTTTTTTTGAATTTATCATCTGCTTAGAATATCCTTAAGATATAGCTCAAAAGAACGACCTCCTCACCGATTAATAAATTAACATTTCTATAGACCTACTAAGAAACCATGTCCTTCCTTATTTCTCAAAATCAAGCAAGTAGAGAGGTATACGAATACCATAATAATATAAATTGATAGTCGTAAACATTGAAATATAAACTCTTAAGGTGCATGTTTTGATTAATATCCTTTCGTTAATCTCGTTGGGCCTGCTTCCTAATTATAAGGTCAAAACACTTTAACAAGAAAATCTATAGGAGTTACCCAGTTTCTTCCTTATTTTGAAAAACATGAATAGCACTTACCTTGTAAATGGACCACTCCTTTTAGTTATTTGACCAAGTATTTTCTCAACAGTCCGCCTGTCGCCTTCACGCGCCGCATCTAATAACTCCTGGCCTCTTCCCATGGCCCATTTAATTTTTAATACCACGCACAAAACTAACACAAAATTCAATCATCTCAATTTTTTACACTAGACTTCACTACACACTACTACTTCATTGATCGTGCCGCCATATTTAGAATTAGGTGAGTGCGCTCTAGCGGCCAACAGTGGAATCGATTTTGAGATGCTTACAAAGTCGGTCACACACATTACAATTTGCTGCATATTGTAACCTAACAACTCACTATATCATTTGTATTTCCAATTATTACATTTAAAATAGATATTTTGCTTAAAGAACGAGTAGTGTCAATAATTATTACAGTTAAACGATTAAGTATGAATATCTTTCATTAGGAAACGACATAAATCATTTCAACGTGTTCATAATATAGAGTGAGACTACAACAACTACGTTATCTGCTATCTTGCTTACACTACGTATTTACGTTTCTCTTTCTCTTTTACTCTGCGACGTTTCATTCGTTCACCAAGTGATTTTCACAACTCATTCCCATTCGTTGGCCATTCATTTAAACGAGAATTATAATAGAAATGAAATTGTATGTTTTGATTGCTATAGTTGAACCTAAACCTAATAAGTGTAGTTTATTAGATTTAGGTTCATTGAAATAACTGTGACCAAAATATAAAAACTTTTATTCATTCGTAAAAATCATTATTCGATATAACCACAGAATAAATAATAGTACTACTTTGATTATGTATGTGTCAGAGTTACGTTTCGTAGATTTTAAATCTGTCAAAATGAACAGCTGCTAAATGACAGCTCAGAGTATCATATAAAATTTGTTTACTTACATATTTTTTCATTTTGTGAATTTCGTGTCATGATTGGTAATTATAACCTAAGAAGCACTTCGATATGTTTTCTAATTATTATTACAGTTTTGCTATACTTCTAGTCGTCTCCACAATACAAGTCCAAACTGAAAGTAAGTAAATACTTACTGATATTTATTGTTTTTGTTTTTGTGATGTGTATTTGACAATTATTTACCAAATATTTTACATAATCAATAGTTTTCAGCACGAGTATATTACCTTAGAAAGCTACATATCAAGAAATTTATACCACAACAGTATGATGTATATTCCTTATCTCTGTAGGGTAAACAACACAAATACTCTTGTTTTTAAATGAGTTAACAGAATATTTGGAGTAGATTTTTTATAAATCATAGCTAGTTTAATAACTTATATGAAATGTTTATTCAAATTTACAAATATCAAAGTAAAGTTACAGTGTACAATATTATGTTTCACTGCTGGGCACAGGCTTCGCCTAATTTCTGAGCGATAAGTCCATTGCTCTGATCCAGTGTGTTGACAGACTTCATATTATGTTTTCGAAATATTTTATTCTTTAAACATGCAAGTGCTGTTTATTTTTAATCATTATTAGAGAGACGATGCTGCTATCTCCTGATTTGTTTCATAAGCCTCTTACGACACACACAGAATAATACGAGGTAGGGAACATTCTTACACAGCCACTACATGGTCAATTTAATTAATTTGTTGCTTTATCAAAAAGCTTGTTTTTTTCTAAACTAGTGGTTTAAAACATTACATAATTTTGTTACGTGGTAGAGCCATGCTGCAACTAATAGTATAGTTATAACACGAATGGGTCGGCTCGACCAGGGAAGGACCACACTCTCACATAATACCAGCGTAAAATAGCAACTTCATGCTGCTGTGTTTCGTATGGTGAGTGTAAGGAACCGGGGACCCTTTTTACTGAAAAAGAGGCATTCTATCTTAGTCCTCACGGCTGACAATGCATCTGCTTTTTAATTCACAAACGAAGATAGATGTAGATATCTATGGACCACAGCAACCACTTACCATCAGGTGGACTGTGTGCTCCTTTGTCACCCTTATTCTATAAAAAAAAAATAAGTGCTTTAAGTTAATATTTTAATTACCTCTAAAGGGTATTCTCAAAAAAATAGTAATTGTTCAGTAATTCTCAATCCGTTATGTTCCCATGGCTGTCATAACAGACAATAAAGGGAAATAAACCAGAACGTGCGCTGCAGCAAATTCAATAACAACTAAAAAATAAAAAAAAAAACCAGTTGCCAACCTGCCTCCCAAGCAAGGCAACTATGGCAAATAGTTTGGCTACATTTAGTAGCATTTGAAAATTTTAGAGCATATCCAGATTTTAGAGATATACCCCAATGCACACAGATCAGTTACATCCTATAGATTTATAGGATCTTCTAGGTATCCCCTGGTCCCTAGGAATAATTTATTTCATTGTAAATTTTTTATTTAAAAAAAAAGGTATTAAATAGATCTTAGGATTATAAATTCTTAGATAAATATAAAGATGTGTCCTGTTTTAAATATTGGTACACCTTGATTAATGTATTATATGTTTAGTTGATTACTAACACAATAAAAATTGCTACTATTTTGTTTCAGATGTGACAATAACAATACCTTTAAACAAAACAACAGATTTGTTAAACAAAGAACTATATGGAGAATATGTAAATCTCAATGCCTCATCAACACTTCAAGTAGGCTTTACTGATGTTTCAAAGTCATTAGCATTCATAATATTTCAAGTACATAGTCATTTATACAATATCACTTTGTACAACAATACTTTAACAAGAAGTTCATCTGTTTATGGCACTAACATTGGAATATACAGTGCAGTCCAATCAACCTTGGACAAGTTTTTTATTTATAACCAAAACATGGTAAATTTAAAACTGTTCATATCAATACATGGATATGGTGACAAAGGTATTTCTTTTTACTTTAAATTATTAAGTAATATTAATATACAATGTTTGTTATATATAGATATCCCGTAATGGAGTTAAATTAGTATAATATGGCGCTAGCTTAGTCAAAGCATTACTAGAGGAAGGGAAACTTGCATAAAGTGTTCAATTACTATGTGTGAAGTTGCTGCAGCTTGAAGAGGCCTATATCCAGTAGTTGAAATAGAAACAAACAACTTAATCGTTTCTTTTGTAATACTAAAAATTACAAAAATAAATTCTATGTAATGAGGAAAGCCATTTGGATAGTAAATTTATTGATAACTTATTTATATTAATTTATAATATTTTTGTTCAAGATCCAATACCAGGTGGTTGTAACATGGAATTTCAACCACCAATATCACCATCTATGCATATGTCATACAACAATGACTATGTACTCATTGAAGCTGCATCAGCGAGAGACTCTGCTGACCTTGCGTGCACATCCATAAATGATGTAATTGTAGTATTTTATTTGATGTACTTACCAGAAAGGAGTTTTGATTCAGATACTTATTTTGAAGGAATTCAGAATATGATGTCTTTGGATAATATTTCAGAAAATGGTGAAATCGTAAGTTTTTACCTACATTTTTTCTAGTTGTAGAAGGGCAAAAGAAAGATTTCTTCAAAAAACAAATTTAATACACATCAATATGTACATACAAACATACTTTAAACACGTCTTTTCACGTCAGTCGCGATTTTTATTTGACACAATCCTGATGCACCTTTCTCGCCTCTTTCCCGTCCATATACCTATGCATACATGTTCAGGGTAAATGGGCATTATCTATTGTTATATAGAAAGGTGACAATCAAGCACAAAGTACACCTGATGGTAATTGAATGCTGTGGACCATGCTGTCAAAATGCAGATGCATTCGGCAGGATTATAGTGCCCTAGTGTATCTGATCCAATGGGATGGCAAACCAACACGGTCGGAGAGAGATCAGGCGCATGATCAACGGATTTACATGCTTTCCGAGGCACGGGAGTGAAACGTCGTCGACTGACTGTCTCCTGGCTGATTTTGAGAATTTCTTGACAGAGAAACCCAGTAAATAATTTTGGTCCAGTCTGGGATTCGAACCCGGAACCTCATGATTAGCAGTCGCGTTTATGACCACTAGACCAGCGAGGCAGGTGTAAATTATTCATACTATATAATAAAATTATATTTGTGTTTTTCTTATCAGATCAATGCACACACTAGTGTGTTAGTCCAGTTTGAAGTGTAAGAAAGCCAATGTAATCAACTAACTTGAGGCTTTCGTCTTCAAAGGTAAAACAATGCATCAGGCATGTTACCTTTGCAATTAGGTAAATGTGTAACTGCAGGCTTATTAATCAATGTTGTTGTAGCACACTCAAATTAATAATCAATCAAACAATTAATAAGTGTGTGTCCAGGCAAAATACATGATGACCACCTACCTAACCTGTACTAACAATAGATAATTAATTAAAATTTAATACTAACTACCTAATCCTCGCGACTTCGCCCGCGTGTTATTTGGGGTTTTAGTTTTTTTTGCGCGGAACCCTAATTATTTTTCTAAAATAAAAGTAGCCTAAGTTACTCCTTATGACATCAGCTATCTGCCAGTGAAAGTCCCGTCAAAATCGGTCCAGCCCTTTCAGAAATTAGCCGGAACAAACAAACAGACAAAAATTTTAAAAATTGTGTTTTTGTTATAAGTATCGTACCTATATACTTTCATATGCATTAAGTAAATAGCCGTAATTTTGACATTACAAACAGACACTTGTATGTTATTTATTTGTATAGATAATATGAAACGACATTTAAACATTAAAATTTTTGAAAATTTAAACAAAAAATTGTCTTATGACTTATATTACTTGTATAGAATGTTAATGCAGTAAGTTTTATTATGAAGTTATATCATACCGATGTAGCCTAACGAATTAGTAGACTGAAGTGGCAATGGGCCGGCCATATAGCTCGACAAACCGACGACCGTTGGGGAAAAAGTAAAGCGAAGTGTATGATGGTACCCCCCTAGATGGAGTGACGACGTGGTAAGAGATGCAGGAAGTTAGTGGATGTAGGTAGCTCAGGACCGTGTTTTTGTGGCATTCCTTGAAGCAAACCTATGTTCAGCGGTGTAATGATGACGATGAAATGGTATCATGGTGAATATGTCTTCTTTTTTTAAATGCCAACATGTACATGCAACCAT